GTTTCTGCTTTAAGATACATAAAACCGGCTTGTACTGAACCCGAGGTTTGGATAGGAGCCGAAACCCTATTGAGTCTGCGTGAAAGCAAGAGGCTACTCGCGGTGATGAAGAGGAACTACAGGCCTTCATCCTCACGACCCCCTAACGACCACCACCAGGAGGCACTGCGCAGGCGCACCAATGGGATGAATGCCAGAAACCTAATTATAATACTAGACGGGAATAGGTTTTGCATATGTATTAGGCGTGACGCAATCTCATGTTTAGGTAATCAGTATATATAATATAAATGAACTGAGTGGCAAAGGAGAGTGCACATGCTTTTGGAGCAGTAACCCCCATGCGCCTCAGAGCTGAATAAAGCATACCTACTTTACAGCTCTAACGAGTTGTGGAGTCAATCCGCGTGTCACTGGGAATGGTACTACAAGAGCCAAATTTGGGCTGGGAAGGGTTCTGGCGATGTACCAATAGAGGCAACTTCATGTCAGTGTCAATTATCTTTCCTGAGCATGCTTGGAGTGTATGGCTGTAGATAAATAGGTATAGATATGCAGAAAGCAGTGCTCCCAGTTTTAGTTCCTGTTCAAATTTTTTACTGTTTTTCTGGAGTTAGGAGCTTTTCATTTGGCTGATCAAGTATTATCTTAAAAATTAAGGAAAAACATAGGTGAAATTCTCCAAGTCCCACAGCAAGTTGTGTGACACAATATAAAGAAAGTACTAATTAAACAAAAAACAATCTGTACTACATATGCAGGGAGAAAGGTACCAAGTTTTGGTGCTATCTTCCTAACCCAGGAACTCCATTCTGTCTCAGCCTGTAGCACAGTACTTCTGACATCCTCTGCCTCATTACAGATACTACAAACCTTCCCTCCTGCTGTCTTGCTCTGCCCCAAAAGGAGAAAGCTGGGCTCTTGGCAGATGATCCTAAGGAAGAGGATCTTGGGCCCCAGCTGTAGTATTGGCCTTTCCCCAGGTCCTTTAGCACCTGCCTCTTGTGCCTCCCATGCTTTCCTTTGTAATAGATACAGCCAGTTTCTGAAAGAGCTCAGTGCTGAGCTGATGAGCACCCTCAGTCACCCTCTCTCTTGCTCAGGGCTCTGCTTCCACACTGGGCCTCAGAAATGGTGAGAACTGAGGATCCTACAACTGCCAAGGTCCTGTTGATTCACAAAAGCTGTCAGAAGTGGTGCTCCTTCTCCCTGAAGTGTTACCAGTCACATGCAGTTTTTAGGTGACAAAACTAGCATGACTCATGAATGACAGTGGCAGTTCTTGTTAGCTCCTGAGCTGTCTCAGTTGCTAAAGCTTGAGAAGTCTATTCACCTTCTCAGATTCCAAAGCTTGAAGCAATTTCAGAAAAAAAGCCATCATATTTTACATATACAGCTTTTCTGTAATATTTTGTGCATCTAGGGTGGTCTTACTCCCTTGGCAGTTCAAAATGAAATTGTACTGACTGCCCCTAAAAAGTTTGCACTGTTATTTCACATGCTGTGTGCTTAAATAGCAGCTTTACTCTTCCAGTGGGGCTTGTCCAATTCCTGTCACAGAGACTGTAATTGAATAAAGGCATTAAAACACAAAAGCATGGTATATATTTAAAAATAAAAGTGGAAACTGTTGTTAACACATCAGTTAAAATACAAACCTAAATGGCAAGAAAGCAGATGCTAGCTAATTTGACAATGACCCCTTGATTGCATATGTAACTGTAGATCTCTGTGATTGAAATTATTATTGTTACTCTTATTTTGCTGCCTGCACTGTTTTAGTACCCACATAACCTGTGTAAGAAGGATCTCGTAGCTGCAAAGTGGGCAGATCCTTTCACCAGAGAATTTACATTGGGACAAATTAGTTTCCATGGAACAGAAAACCTAACATGAAGCTAGCTACTTCTCCTTTTTTTTTTTTTTGGTTTCATTTCTCCCTTTTAGTTTAGGCATATTCAAAAGATCCATCCAGCTCCAGCATTTTCTACATTTCAGATATATATCTGTCAAATTATAAAATAAAAAAAGCAAAGCACCAAACCGTGCATTTGAAAATTAAAATGAAGCTTCTCTTCCATTTTACAGTTAGATCTAACTGATCTCATTATGCTGGGATTTATCTCAGAGATGTTTTACCAGACTTCACAAAGGCATTAGCCATTCTCTATCCTAGAAATTTGAATCTGTGCTAGACATAGAATTACAGCTTAAGATAAACTGATTATCCTCATAGTATGTCTCCTACTTAACAAAAGCAGTGTCTCATATGTAAATGCAAGCTAAAATTTAGCATCCAACAAAGGTCATTAGAGAGATGCAACTTTAAATCAAGGAATGTTATTATTCAGCTAAAAATGCAATGAAATAAATGTTGATGTTCTAACAGTGGGAGCTGAATATATAAACATTCACCACCAAACTCTTACAAAACACTACTTTCTCAATGGTTTTAACAATCTTTCTTTACAATGAGAAATGGACTGTTAAAACAATGAATGCTCACAATATCCCTCTGGTTTAGGTAAACATCATTATCCTCTGCAGCCTCCATATGGAGAAGATGAGACTTTTCTTTGTAGTTCTTATGTGTCCAGTGTCAAGCAACAGTGAAGTGGGAGGGCAAGGATTGTCAGAGGGGAGCTCTATATAAACAATGTCCTTGTCATTTATCCTGCAGTCATCACTGTGATACGTAAATAGTTGCCTCAGAAGTTCAGGATGCCACAGAGCCTGACAAAATGGGTAGATGATGTAGGTGAGATTCTCAGAATGAGAGTCAGGTTCCTACAAATCCAGACTCCGGGTTCCACCCTAAGAATGAAAAGCTTTGTATTTTACACTAAGTAGCTTTAGATCAGCATCCCTTGTAAACAGATTTCTGGAAAAGAACCAAATGATGCTTTCAGTTTTTAAGCAGGCTTTACCCTTCAGACTCATCAGGAACTCCACCAACACCAGCAGTAATATACAGTCTGAACCATAAAATTGCAACTGGTTTTCTGAGGAATTGAGATGTCCATGCTCATTACTGTGAGCACGGCACAAAAGCAATCTCAAAGATCTCAAAGACAAGGCCATTCCTACGTCTCATGAAAATGAGCTGCCAGGAGCCGCCAGCTGAGGAGAAGGCTGTACACACGGGGAGAGACTCTGCAGTACCCAAAATGAAGAAAGATTCAGGTGGTTCCATCACTTGTAGATCTACTGGTTACTCCTAGAGTAATGTTTCTACATACAATTCCAGGTAGTAGCAGTAAAAGTGATACAAATCACAAATCTGCACATACACACTTGGTGCATATATAACCATGTGTCAGCACAGGAGCTGAACACAATAATTTGAAACCAGCACTGCTGTAACTCTGAGCTAGGATGACAAGCTTGATATAGGCAAAGAAAGCATGATCACATCAAAAGGTTTTTCTTTCAATTGTATAGATAAAATATTTCTTCTGAAATAAACAGAACGTTTATAGCAGCAAGACACACCATCACAATCAAGTTACTATAGAAGTGGTTGGGAAGAGCTACCCTGAATTACAGGTTGATTCAACCCCAGCCAAGAGGCCACAGCAGCTAAACATCAGAACAGCACTAGTCAGGAAAAAGACCTTCAAAACTGCTGAAACCAGCACACAGTAAAAGCATTAACAATTGAAATTGCCTTTAGCTAAACTACTGTTTAGTGCTGTGTTGGCTTTTTGTAAAGTCATCATGTTCACTGTTTATTTACAATCCACTATGTTTTTAAAGCAATGATACAGTATTGCACTTAATGAATATGCCGAAATTCTGCTGCCAAGAATTTGCTTTAGCTTAGCCAAGCAAGCAGAATTCAAACAAGCCTGAAAACATGGGCTCTAGAAATTACACTTTTTTTGCAGAGGAGTGTGGGTTTTTTTGTGAATAAGGTTGTTTAGAGCATACAAATCAAACTTTATGGACACCATGTTGTCTGATTTTCATGGCAGCTGCTCGCTGGCATCTAGACAATTATTTTTATCAATAATACCTATAGGTTATCCTCCAGCTAATTAAATTGCAGATGGCTCCTCTCTCCCATGGTTAATCACTGGGCAGCAACTGCAAAGGCCTGCAGGCCACTGACACTGGTCTTTTGTACTCTTGGGCTGCAAGGAGGAGAGTCTAAATTAAACATAAAGGCTGTTGGCTGAATTTATAACATTTCAGTTGCTCATTAACAGAGCAGTCTTTTGAAGCTGCTGCTTAAAAACTTTCTTCAGGGAATATCATAGTATTCTGTCTGCATGCAGTTCTTTTTTTCATAGGTACTTATGCACCAAAATAAGAAAGAGGAACCTGTCAGTAGCTACCAAACAACTTACTACCTGACTTCCAAAGGCATTTATCAGAAAGACAAATGGAAGAATTTTGGATAGGTCCTAACAACACTTTTTCAAGAAGAGCATGCCAAATAAAAGATTCAGCCCAGTGCAGTAACACAGTAGGAAATTCCTGCGGGTTACTTCATCTGAGTTAACAAAACAGATGGGCTTCTCCTTGCCTTTTAGCAGGCTCTCTACAGAACAAGGATCTTAGAAATTAGTCCTTTTTTATTGCTTTTGCTTACATTCTACATAAGTGTCATTTCCATACCTCCCCAGGACAGTAACCACATACAGGTGCATTGTTTTGTATCATTATACTAATAAGATGGCAAATGAGTTCCCAAAACTCCACCATTTATTTCAACCTTTTGCTTGTTTTAAGAAAAGGCCACATTAGCAAATCTTTTCTCCAGAAAATAATTAAAAGGTCACTCAAGTCTCTAGTGTAATTTAACAGAAATTAACACAACTAGTAAAACACAAAATTACTGAAAATATTAGAAATTGGCACCTGATCAGGCAGCCAAGACAGCCACCATTCTTGGAATCTGTGATTCATTCTTCCTCTGTTGAGACATCGTTCAGGTAGCAATGCTGTGAGCAGCTTTTCTTCACAATCCAGGAAGGAGATCAGATTTTTCATTACACAAAAATGCTGTTAGTGCTACTCATCACAGCTTATGATATAGTAAATGTACAGTTACATGCTATTCTAATATCCATATCACCAAGTTTTCTCTTGGAGCTCTTCTCTTAAACCCTGCTTTCTCAACCTCTGATCCCTGTAATCTCAGTAATACTTAAGTAAGTATTAACAAAACCAAACTACAGACCATGTAGTTTTATTCAGATATTAATACAGTGTGAATATAGACTTACCCAAAACAGTCACTGATACAGGGCAGTTTTTGTTTAGCTACCATGGTTCCCTGTTGCAGTTCAACTGTGGAAGAAATGTATATAAGCATCTGGCTTTATCACTCTATCCAGCCTCTTATCTGGTTTTGTAGCCTGGACCGATTGCCATGATGGTGTAGATTAGTCAGGGTCCACGATGCTAGTGCAGACTAGCCAAATTCAGCCCCTGATTCATCCCTGTGTGCTGTAGGCCTGCCTTGCGCTCCTGTTCTATGGTTGTACCACTCACCACTCTTAACTTCAGCTCTATAAAACTAGTCACCTACACACTCTCAATAGTCAGTGAAGGGAAACAGGAAACCCCAAGTGTGAGTTTTCCATAGTACTCTGGACACCACTCTTAAGATGACTAAAAAACATCTCCTCGTGGTACTTCTCTCTCCCAGTGAATGTAGAGGAATGAATGACTAGTTTAGAAGACTAAAGATACACAGTTTCTAGGCAGCTACCTGCAGGCAAAACAAATCTTACCCTGAGCTTCAGGTTAGTAGCTCATCTCAGGTTTCCCTTATCTAAAAATCAGATCCATGTATTTTATGAAATTATTAGAGGATATTATGCAGGTTATAAATGCATTTACCTGGGGGCACAACAAGTTGAACTCATATTCTGTAAGAACTTCCAGGTTTTTAATGCAACAGGCTGGAAATTCTGCAGCATCTTAAATACTGTGTTCTTGTTATGAATTAAATACAAAGAAAGCAATCATTTGAGTATTCCATGTGTTATTTATCTTTATATTACAATAAATTTATTTTTGATGGTTGCACATATTCAGGGTTCAAGACTCTCTAACAATTGTATTTTGTACTGATTTCTGTGCAATGAATAACCACACTGTAGAAGTTACCAAGGGAAAAGCTAGGAGTGTTGACAGATGGGTGGCAAAGAGAAAGCTGAGGATTTTATAACCTGAGAAGCCAGAAGTTTGGGAATGTGGGATAACATTGGTTGGGTATTTCTGCTCACATAAGCAGCTAACTTAATAAAGTTGGTATTTAAAATTTCAAGTTAACAATCTGCTTGCACTGAGTTTAGTAGTACATGTCACTAAAGATCTTTTTTTCAAACTGATTTCAGATTCACTGGCCTTTTCTTACAGTCCTCTGAAGGAAACCGTTTCTGGAGCTTCTCAAACCCATTGTTCTCTATGTCCCAGATTGATGCTTTTCTCAAATCCTGTTATAGCCCAGCATGCCAAACCTACCATTTTTTTGGTGAGAAATAGCTGCTTTTGCTGGTCATTTTCTTCCCTACCACTTTTCTACATTTTTCTACTAACTTCCAGATGTTTGGCAGCTAGTGCAGAGCAGTAATACCAAGCAGGCTGCCAAACATCTACTAATCCCAGACACTGTGTATGCCCAGGTTTTCTATTTGATGTGCGTGTTGATGCTTCTCTTTCACAAAAGCCATGCAACTCAAGCCATGTATGTTCAGAAAAACATCATCTTGCCATGCAAGAATTTCAGTGCATACATGTTAATGAGTTGGTCTGTAGACAAGCAGCAAGTTTGAAACATCCAGAAGACATTCAAATTGATGCACACATATAAAGATCCAGTATATCTAAAACACATTTCATAGAATCATTGAATAGTTAGCGTTGGAAAGGACTTTAAGATCATCTAGTTCCAAACCCCCTGCCATCAATTTGCTTCTGCATTTGCCTTTGGAACTTCAGATACTGACTGGGAGGCATGAAAGTGTCTGTGTAGTCTGGAATATATGGGGATTTATTTGAAAATCCCATGTAACTAAGTATATAAGGAAGAACTGAGTTGGTACGGGAGGCTTAAGAGATCTACCTAAGAGGCCTTTTCAAACACAACATGGTCTTCATAGCAGATGAGCTGTAGTATGGTAAACAAAAGGTTTGGAATAGGAATTCAAGTCACTGCTGATAAGTAGACTGAACAGAATCAAGGGGTGGGAAGTTACTCTCTAGCTGATTGCACTTACCACATTGATGCTATTGCATAGTGGTTCACTAATTTAAGCATTATCTTATGTTTTTCTGACTATGGCTATCAGTCATCCTGCTAATCTATTAATGCTTTCAGATCTATTTTTTGTACTATGTAATGCAGTTATTTTATCCTGGAACATTTTTTCTCAAATCAGGTATATAACGTAAGCCCAGAAAGCCTCAGAACTTCCTGCCACCTGCACAGTGCACAAATCTCACAGCTACTGCTTTAGACTTTCCCTTATTTTCATATGTTAACCCATATTTAAAAACTTGGCTTTGTACCAGTGACATTATTTACATCTCAATCTTTCCTTTTTGAATTACAAGTTAAGCACCAGGAGTAATTTTTAGTATAATTATACATAGAAGTCGATCACAAGGGATTTACTGAGAAACCCTAAACTCCCCAAAGCTTCTTGAAACTATTCTTTTTATTATTTTTCAAAGTTTTCAGCAGCCTTTGGATAAATAATAATAATAATAAAAAAGAATACATGGCATCTCCATGCAGTTTTTACTTCATCCACATAAGGACCTCATATATTTCTCAGAATATATGTATTGACCCTGGCTACATAAATCTACCCCAAATCATGTATACTTGAATAAGGAAAACCCATCTACACAGTGCAATAAAGCATGAGGAACTATGTGCATAGTTAAGATTTACTATCTGATCTTTACAGGCAAGGACTCTAAAGTCCTAAATCAAAGTTCAGCACAGTCAATGAGACACTCCAATTTAATTCAAGGTACCTGCCTTTAAACAGACGACTTGACTTGCATGAAATGGTGGATTCACAAGCAGAATACAGAATGGAATATTTCAGTTGGAAGGGACTTACAATGATCATTTAGTGCAACTGCCTGACCACTTCTTTTTAACTAAGCAAAAGTTAAAGCATGTTGTTAAGGACATTGTCCAAATGCCTTTTAAACACTAACAGGCTTTGGGGATTGATCATCGCACTAAGGAAGCCTGTTCCAGGGTTTGGCTGCCCTCTCAGTAAAGAAATGTCATTTAATGTCTCTTTTTTTTACCTCTTTGCTTGAACTTCTACAAATTCTTGTGTGTGATGCTTTGCTTTGATTTCTAAGTTAGAGAAGGAAATAAGACTTCCAGATAAAAAAGGGAAAGAACAGATAACACTGACTTAGACAAATTAAATGTTCTAAATTGTATCAGCCTGATACAACCCATTTAACCATTCTCTACTAGTTGTTAGAAGTATCTGCTTCATTCCTTCTCTAAGTAAGGAAAGCAGAAGTAAAATAAGAAAGGAAATGGTCAAGCATACAAGTGGAAAAAATAGGAGAATCCAAAACTCAGCAATTCAGGAAAGGATGTTCATTGCCTTTTAGTTCCTTTTGCCAAATAATAGAAAAAATAAAGTAAGTATCTACATAATAGCAAAGAGGAGATTATCAAGAAGATACAGCCAGGCTCTTCAAAGTGCTGTATGGTCGGAGGATGACAGACAATGGCTGTCACTTGAAATAAGAGAGCTTCAACGTGGATTTAAGGGAAAATATTTCCACCATGAGTCAGTCAAACCGTGGAACTGGTTCCCCAAAGAGCTCATGAAGTCTACAGTCTTGCAGGTTTTCAAAATCTGACAGGATAAAGAATGGTCTGAACTCATAGCTCACCCTGCTTTGAGCAGGGGCTTGGACTAGAGACCTCCTGAGGTCCCTTTCAAAATAAATTATCCTGTAATCCTATGGTGATAAGTAAGAGGAAATATGGTTTTATCAGAAAACAAGCTATTAAAAGCAACATTCCAGAGCACAGGCCTTGCATATTAGGGAGGAGCAATAGATACTTAGTATCTTGACTATAATAAGGCTCTTAACCTGGTCTTGCAGGAAGCACAGTCAGCTAAGGAAATATTCTGATCTATCTATGGACCAGGTTCCATTTTCCCTGAAAATTCCCCCATCTCAAGCCCATTCCCTTTTGTCTTGTCCTGAGGGCCACATGGAAGTGGGCAGGGAGTGGTCATGGCATGAATTGTGCTAGTTCTGCCCTATGACACCTTTCTTCATTAGGGTGGCAAGGGCTTTCCTTATGAGACAGAAAAGTGAATCTGTTATGTGGTCTTAGTGCAGTGGACTAAGTGGTATGAGTGCACATCTACACCATGTCAAAGGATAAATATTCGAATAAAAAAATGGTAACACACCAGAGAAATGGTCTGAAAAAAAAAAACAAAAAACCTAGGATGTTATTGAGGATGGAAGCACGTAAGGTATTATTTTTAAGACCATTCAGCTGCACACGAAGATGATGGAGAGTTACTGGTAAGCAGCACACCCCTCAGAAAAGCATCTATGGGTAGCATTGCATCATAAACCAAACAAGCCAGTGATGTCATACTGTTGTAAAATAAGCGGACTTCACACTGGGGTGTGTAAACAGCTCTATAAAAGACACATAAAGCAATGTTCTGTTCAGATCATCACTGATAAGACAGTGGTACAGAGATAAGACAGAGTACAACATCCATTTTTGGGTACCTTACTTGAAGAAAGACAAATAAAAAACCCACAGTAGAGCCATGTAATTTTCAGAGGTATAGAAAATGTCTCCCATGAGGTAAGATTGAAAGAATTCATTTTTTTGGTCTAGCAATGAAAGGATTGAGGGAAGATATGATATCAGTTCTCAAACCCATAAAAAGTATTGAAGAACAAACTGTTCTTTGTGTCTACTGATAGAGCAAGAAGTAATAACTCTAAGTTGCAACTTGAAGACTGAAGTGATATTTTACAAAAAGCTTTTGGACTGTAAGGAGTGTTATGCAGTATCTGACCCTGGAGAGGTCTGAAGAATCAGCGTGACTACAAATTTTCAAGGTCATGTTGAACAAATATCAGTTAGGAGCTGATTAGAGTGGATTCTGCTCTGAAGCAAGAGGATGAAATGGAAAACCTTTTCAGATCTCTTTTAAAATCATGTCTACAGAAGCAACTCCATTGTCCTCATTACTAAATTGGCATGAGAAAGGAGGCAAAATGCACCAGTGTCAACTCTCCAAGTTTTCTTAAATTAT